AAATAAAAAAACAAATTATTTAATTAGATGATGTTTATTTTGTGTTGTAAAAGTTAAATTATAATATAATACTTACTAACTGGTTATTAAAGAAATAAAAAAAACAAATTATTTAATTAGATGATGTTTATTTTGTGTTGTAAAATACTACATATTTTTAAAATAGTTATTTTTTGTGTAAGAAAAAATACCTTCATTCATTTTTTTTTACTATGAGCAAGAATTTCCCCAAGACCAGTGTGTTTATTCCTATTTAAGAAATTTTATTGTATTTGGATGTGATTGACAAATAATAATTATTATTATTGATTTATTTGCATATTAATATTAGATATGCATAAATTTTTATTTATAGTGCAAGTCACCTAATCCCGCAACTTAGTATGCCTCGATGACAGATTTGTGAAAAAATTTCCAATCAAAAATGCAAATAAAATTCTTCGATCACGTGATTTTTTAGTAAGCTAAGTTAGGTCACCTGATAGTCTACGATCAATCCATAAATGGGAGAAATCGGCAATAATAATAATGATTAATATATATATATATAAAAAGAATTATTTTTCATGATTAAAGAGTCAAAGAGTTGTTACATAATAATACATGATAACAAAAATAGCATATACATTGTCCATGAATTTAATAAATTTAATATTAAAGATTAAAAGTATAATTCCATTTGAGATGGAAAATTTCAATAATGTTCTTTGCCTTTGTTGATGGATGTATGTGTGTATATATATATATAATTAATGAAATAAAGAAAAGTGGTTGAATATAAATAATTCATGTATATATAATGAAAAAAAATAACAATAAAAAATATAATACTTAATGGATGGGACCTCACATCTATACAAGCCAACAATTGCAAACAGCCATCTAATAAAAAAATAAATAAAAAGAATTAGTATTAAATATAATAAACATGTAATTTATTAATCTTGCATGAAAATTATATAATCCTTGGCTCCCTATAGAAAATTTATGTATGGAAGTTCCTTACATTTTGTAATATTTATTTGTAAGGAATAATCCTGGAAATGTTTATGTAACAGTAATAGTAATGTAAGTCAGACAACATTTCATGCAATCAACATGTCTACTGTAATACAGGCTGGGATTTTACCATATCAGTATGTTGCTCTGCCAATCAATTCATATATGTTACAAATGAATTCACAAGGTGTTATTCATCATATCTAAGTCACACTTTTTAAAAAAAAAAAATTAAATTCATAATTGAAATAAATTGTCAAAACTTTCTTTTTCATAATCTGTTAATAATCTGTGATAATCTGTTGATTTGCTTAAAATATGTTTCTCTCAAAATCAGAGAAAATTTAAATGCAAGGTGTTCAAATTTGTTTTATTTTATTTAACTATTTTTTTTTTAAAAACTTTTAGTGGAAAGACAACCTGCTAGTACCTTACCATGCTTGTTCACCACACTCAGAAATATTCAGAAAATAAGCTGAAACAATGTGAAATCAAAAGTAATCAATACTGGAGACAAGCATTGGGAAATGCAGTAAGGGAACATCTGCATCTATTTACTGAATACTTTCCTGAATTATCTTTGTTAATTGATTACTTTTCCTTATCTTCCTCTCAGATCAGGCTTGGCTGTCACCATATTGGCATTGATCACTGATGAATATCAGCATTTGTGTGATCTTTGCTTTGTGTTATCACCCTCTCACTAGAATAAAGTTGGCACCTGATTCAAAATTCTCCAGCTCAGAAGGTTGCGACCTGGATTGCTGTTTTGGATTCAGAGTTTTGAGTCTTGGGTTGCTGTCTTGTTTGTGGCATGTCTGCTCACCAACAACCCTACCCCATTTATTTAAATAACAAGTTTAGTTGGTCAAATAAAAATTAAAGAGAAACAGAGCATTTATGAAAATGATTATACAAAACAAACAACTTTCCTCTTAACATCAGAGTCCAAATGTAGTTTCAAGGCCACCAACTCTGCTCTGAATTGTGACCTCCTGTGCTTGAACAGGCTGCAGATTCTCTTAATATTCATCAGTGGAGTTGTGACAGCTTGGTCACAGTGCCATCCTTACCTAGAGGTGGGATCATTGCAGGTGACTTTTCAGCTAGCATGCCAGCAGCCTTCTCTGGTCTGGGAAGATTAGTAAAAGCATCATTGACGATGATGCAGTCTCAGTAAACTCCAGAGCCTTACACTCCCCCCTGGAATTCTGTTGCATCATTGTATCATCAGGGGCCTTGCAGTCAGATTAGCCTTGTGTACACAAGGAAGATGTGTGAATGACTGTAAAGTGTTCAAGGTAGCGTGCGTGCATGCTTCAATGCCTGCCAATTTCCTGTAATCAAACATTGCATATTTGAAATGTTTCTTTTTCAACAGTGTGCTGCCTTGATATCTTGTGATTATAATATTTATAATATTATTAATATTAATGATTACGAAAAAGCAAAATACCAATTGTTCATTGTTGATAAGAATCTTATAATTATCCCAGCAAGATCTGCTCCGCGTTTTGATTTGCAATTAAAAAAATATAAACTAAAATAAAAATATCAATACAAATAAAAAATAGTACCTCTATTATTAACACATTTTCTTTAGAAGACCCAAACCAAACTAAACAACAACACTCACGTTTTGTCAACTTGGACTCCATCAAAAAATAAATTGTTTTTCTAAAAAAAAAAAAAAAAAAACAATTTTGCATCAACAAAAAAAAATCTTTGTACAAGTGCCAATAATAAATAATTAATGACGCATTTGTGATCAAATAATTATTTTCTTTATCTATTATCATTTTTTAAAACATGCCAAAAGACAAAAGAGAAATAAGTAAAAGAAACAGAGAAAATAAAATAACTCAAAGAGGGTAAGTGTTTTAAGGATGGTGGTGGTGGTTATTGCCACCACTCATCGTCACTCTAGTTGTAACTTGAAAATGGTTGCTACATGCAACTTGTTATTTTTGTCACCAACTTGTATTAAATAAAGTACAGTTACCACTGAGGCAATGGAGAGATGAACTATTTATCTATGAAAATTTTATTGATAAGGCTGCTGTCAAAGAACATTGGACAAATGAAGAAAGGAGTAGTCATAACAAAGTAGTTTTTTGATTATACTTTTTCTAAATTATGGTTTTTCTGTCAATTTGTTGTTGGTGTCTCATGAAAAAGCATTTTATTCATAATGAACTCTCTCAACTAATGATATAAAAAAAATTTTTTTTTCTGACAGCTTCAGGGTGCCAGTAATGAGATTGTGCAGTTTTTAGCACTTTTGACAAATAATCCTGTTGATTTTTTAGATTTATGCCAAAAGAAAGTGTTTGAGTTGACAAAAAAAAGAAGAATTGCCAACCTAATTGGTGGTAATGAAGTTCGAAAATCCATTTTTCAAAAATATGTAGATCTGATAGTTGGTATATATTTTTAAAGATATTTTTAGCACCAACTTTATTGTAACTTCTCATGCATTTTTAGGAGAAAAAATCAAAGTGGATTGTGGATAGCTATGACATAAGTTGTCTTTTTGCAGGCACAATCTCATGGGAAGAAATCAGATCCTTATCATTTGATGATCCAAAACTATCATTTATTATTGATTTCAGCAAGCATCAGAAGAAATTACAACAGCTTCTTCCTGAACCAGTATTTAAAAAAATCATAAACATTCCAATTCATTATTTAGAAGAACCACCACTTGAATTTAGTAATTTATTTAGAAAATTTTACAGAGACAGAGAAAGATGGGAGCTTGATGATTTTGGATATGTTAATAAAATTGACCAAAGTCAACCATTTTACATACTTGTCCGTGATCTTTCCAAACACATGTATGTAATTTTTTTTTATTTATTTACCAGACAATAATAATAGTAATATTAATCAATTTTTCTATGGATTCTCTGTTTGGGATGAAAAACTTGAAAATAAAACTAATATTTCAGAAGGAGCATGGGAAAGGATTGTTCTTGATCCTATTTTAAAAATCATGACAAGGAAAATAAATCATAAATGTTTTTGGCAATGGTAGGTTAAATTTCATGTCCTATTAAGTTTAATGCATATATATTTTTAAAAAAATTATGTTATTATTATATTAGGGCAGAGGCTGTTTCTTTGGCATCTGATTTTCGGAAAGAATTATATGCACGGAAACCTGATTTTTGCTTACCAATGGATGTTGCAGGTACTACCCAAGAAATGATGTATCATGAGACTTCAGGAAGTCCTCTTGTTAAGGATTTGGATAAGTGGATTGAAGATAGGCACAAACTCTTTTGATTTGGAAGAGATAGCAAAAATATGATTTGTGAACAATTAATAAATTATAACATTAAATATTTGGATGATCATGAAGCTCTTTGGAAAAAACTATGTGATACTGAAATTTTTTTGTTTCAATCATATGGTAATTAATCAAGGTTTATTATGATCATTGTATATTATATTTTTTTATTAATAAATTGTTTTAATGTTTTATTTTCTAATAGATACTAGCTTGAAAGTTTTTTTGTTTGACCAGCCAGATCTTCCTTTTTGCAGAGTTAGGCTTTTATTTAACCTCAATATACCACATAAACCTACAGATAACATTGATTTCATGATGAGATTTATACATAATATATGGAAAATACGATTGGGAATGTTATCATCAATTTCTATTGTAGATGAAGTGGGAATGTATGTGGAAAGTTCTAAACAACGCCCTATCAATCCTATTACACCACCTCCAATACAAGTAGAAGATTATCATTCTTTAGCAACACCCTAGTTCTCTTCTGTTATATACTTCTTTGATAGATGTACAGGTCATGATAATAATGATATGCAACTCTTTCTTTATAGCAATAGTAAATTTTTTTTTAAAGTTAATAATTTTATTGTTAGTTTACAACCTTTTTATCAATAAGAGAGAAATTTAAAAAACTTGTTTCTGTTCCTTGTTATATTTTTGAACTTTAAAAAAGTTTACATTCCAATTTCTAAATCATAATTTCCTCAGATGAATACTCAATTCCACCAAACTGAGTCACAATCTAATAAAATAAGTGAATGCCATATACAAGTAGACTAAGTTAGTGATCAATTAACTTAATCTATGAATTTCAATTGATAAAGATGGTTTATATATTTGCATTTTAAAATAAATATTAAATGGTTGGATTTGGATATAGTATTTATAGTAAATACAACAGCACATTTCTTGGTTTGTTTGATTGAAATCGTTAAATAATAAATTTTACTGATAAAATAGAAATGTTAATAAAGCAAATAAGAAGAAGAATCCCTTTGTATGCAAAACTATCTGCAATCTGCCAAATTAATTTCTTATTGCTGCACAAATTATGGATACAATTATCTTTGAAAAAACAATTTCTTTATGCAATATGATGTGATGTGACAATGGGGATTCAATATAACTAATTTTGAACCCTGAAATTCACTTTGTCTGGTTTTGTTACATTATGCCCCACATAATGGGGTGTTACAAATTTCAACAAACACAAACATCAATATGTAAAAAATTTTAATATAAAAATTCAAACTCTATCTCCTTCAGATTTGTAAAGTATACCACTATTCGAAATTGGTATATGAATATTTCATAACACATACTTCAAAACAACGGTTTTGATTTTTTGATTTTTTGTTTAAAAAAAA